GCAGGATTATCCTACTAATCCCACAGGATCCCCTTCCTGGCGTTGCAGTGCATCCCCCCCCTCCCCCGTGCGTGTCACCGTGACGCCCCGAACGCCCTACTGCCAGGCTATTTGTGCCCCTCCCCCTCCCCCGGCCGCCCCCGCACTCTTCGCGGGCGTCGATCCCCTTTCCATGCGAGGTGCATGTCTCTTCGGGGAACGCACCTGCATGGCGCCATGGCGCATCTCCCTGCAGTGCATCCGCAGCATGCCGTTCTGAAATTCGCCACGTGCTCGCACCGCCACTGCCAACAAAGTGGACATTCTGCCGATTGTCGAGTGCTTTACCGCCGTCTGGCGGTGAGAGCTTTGGCCCACTGCGTCGGCCTGGTGCTCCAAACGGTGCTCTCGTTGCCGCCATGAAGGGCCTCTTTGTGCCCGGCGACCGGTCCTGCAGACTGATTCCGAGAGTCGTTTTCATCGCGCTGTCTCTCTCGCACCAATACGGGGCGCTCCCTCCATAAGAGCGAGAGAGACAGAACGACTGTCGGAATCAGTGTGCTGACCGGGCCGCGGGACCAGGACCACAGCGGCCCTCTGTTCTGCATCAAGCTTGGCACTATCTCGAGCGTTCCCCGCGAGTGCGTTCGAAACTCGCAAACACGGCTTGTCCCTGCCGGCCCTGCCGGCACGCGCTGCAGGCCCCCACACGGTAAAAGTGCCATTGTGCTTTGGAATCCAAGCGGATGCCTCAGCTTTAAGGAGTTTCAGTGAATTTTCAAAGTTGACAAAAAACACATCGCTTTACGGAAATGGATTTGTCTCGACAAGACGAACAAAAAATGTCAATACATATCATAGCTTTGGGCAAGAAATAACAATGTTATTGAACTTCAAATGTACCAAGCAGTCCTTTAGGGCCATTTTAGCACTTTTGAAGTTCAATAACTCATTCATTCCTCCCTCGCCTAAACCTTTTGTGTGTGTGCGTGTGTGTGTGTTCACAGTGCCGCGAGAGGAGACCGGCAGCCTGCATCGTCCGAAGAGATAAGCGTGGGTGAGTCGGGAAGAGAGGGACCACTTTGCGACCGCTTCCGTTTCCCTACACTCGATTTCTCGAACGCACCCCGGCGCGCCACCTGGCGGTCACCCAACGCACCGGTCGCCGTTTCGGCGGGTCCTTGGCAGTGGTGCGGCCGGGCCGGCCAAGCGAGCGTGTAGTTCACGACACTGAACTCCAACTGTCAAAAATCGGGCCCCGGGGGGTGGAGTAGAGGGAGACGCTGCTGCAGCGAAGCAGGCGGCGGGGCGCGGGGGTCGCCGTATTCCCAGCCTTGCAGGCCTTGCACCTTCCATCCGAGAGTATTTTTAGTGTGGGCGCTTTGGCCGCTTTGGCGGCGCCGCAGTTGGCCGCCCTGCCGTCGCCCGTTACGCGCGCCTGTGTGGAACCAGTGCAACACAAAGCGCGTCGCCGCCGCCTTGTTTTGACGCGGCGGCAGACTGACTCCGAGAGGCGTTTTCGTCGCTCTGTCTCTCTCGCGCCTGTACGGAACGCCCCAAGAGTGCGACAGAGACAGAGCGACGAAAACGACTCCCGGCATCAGTCTGCTGTCGGCTGCCGGCACCGCCAGGGGGCGCGCTGGTCGCTTATTATTTCAGAGCGCAGACACCCGCCGCGGCACTGTTCACCCTCATGCACCGCGCAATCAAGGAGAGTCCCGGATCGGACTGCAGCGCTCCTATCCACCAGCCGCTGCTTGGGGCAGGGCACACTTGACCAGCCTGCGCCACACCAGGGGGAGTCGCTTGCTATCTCTAGCGCGCCTGGCATCTCTTGATCAAGCTGCTCCACTTACCCTGCACGAGGGTGGCTGGCGGGCCTGCTGGCTGGCTGGCCAAGGGGCGCTTGCGGTGGGTCGCGCCGCCGAATTGACGCAGTATCGCGATCACCGCTGTTTTGTTGTTGTTGTTGTTGCTTTCCGTGAGGCAGCAATGGAAAAGTGGCAGCCAGACACATTGCGTACACCGGCTGACCCCGTTCCGAGCGCCACGCCTGGGCTGGCCTGCGGGCTGCCTTCGAGGTGCCTCCGTCTCTCTCGCACTGCCACGGGCGCCCCGCGAGCCCCGCGAGTGCGAGAGAGAGAGAGAGATAGAGAGAGAGAGAACACCACTCGGAAGCAGCCTGCCAGCGTAATGGCTGCGGAATTGAGGTGGCGTGCCGGCCGGGCTGGGACCATGCTGGGACACACTTACCCCACCGGTCAAGAAGGGCGGGCGGGGCGGGGCGGGGCGGGGTGGCGCAGGTATTGAAACGTCACGTCGCCGCCAACAACGCCGGAACCGGAACAAAGCTACCCGTTTCCGGGTCCCTCGAAGAGGCGGCCAGCAAGGCCGCGGTGCGAGGATCCTGCTGCTGGGTTGCAAGGGCTGCCAGTGTAGGGTCAGCGACCCGCGTCCATTTGCTGGCAGACTGATTCCGAGAGTCGTTTTCGTCGCTCTGTCTATCTCTCGCATTCGTAGGGCGTTGGGTGCGAGAGAGACAGAGCGGCGAAAGCGGCTCTCGGAATCAGCCTACCGCAAGCCGGGGGATGCAATGCCGCGATGCCAGCGCCGCATTAACGTGTTTCTTTTGCATTATGCATGCCACCCCGGATTATCTGGCGCGTGTGTTCCGCGGCCCGCCTAAGGGCCTCCGAGGAATGGGAACGCCGGGCGGGGTGGCTCCAAGTCAGCAGACCGCCAGCAGGAAGATGATTTAGTTCGAACGTAGATCGGAGAGCAGCCCCCCACTTTCTAATACTACTAACGGGGACGGCAGGTAAATTACAAGGCCGCTTTGTGGGGAAACGAAAACAAAATCCTCCGGAGCGTTCGGGAGTCGAACCCGGGACCGAATGAGTGCGGCGGTGATGGAGGGCGGGCGTCACGTCACGAGCGACCGCAATAAGGCAATAAGGAGGCCTCATTTGCGTCCCGGGCGCGTCTGGGCCGCGGAAGCGCCTCGCCCCTTTCTCGGGGTGGCTGACGGCCTGGCATCGAGCGGAGTGGCCTGGTCGCCTCGCTGCCTGCTTAGTGGCTGGCACGGCCTCGCGGCGCACAGTGGGGTGGCTGCTTAGCTGCGCTTAGCTGCGACGGCTGTGACCGACCGACTGCCGGCGATGGCTGTTGACCTGCGCAATGATGAACTCGGTCAGGGCTCGCTTGACCACGGGGAGCCTGCGGTCTAAACAAGGGCACTGGGAAGTGATTTACACAGCGTGCACCGTGCACCCCCGCCTCGCGCAACCCGCCCCCCACCCTTTAAATAGGCCCGCTTCCCCACCCCTTCCGGGCTTCCGGCCTCGAGGGAGGAATGCACTCTCGTCCGCGTGGAGGCGGAGGAGTGCCCCCTCGATCGCGAACGCGAATCCCCCCCCCCTCCCCGGCGCGCCGGCCGCCGCTGGCCGTCCGTCCGCGCAGCCCCGCTGCGCTGCCCCTGCCGCCCCCCACCCCCACTGCCCTCGGCGGCGTGCCGCCTGGTCACCCGGCCCAGTTGACCACCGGCGGCCGACGCCGCCAGCACGGCGCTCCCTCGCGGCGCCCCACCGCCGTGTCCGCGACGCCGACGCCGCGCCGTCGGCCCCGTGTCGCGTCGCGCGGTGGCGTGCGCGCCGAATCAGTATTCACATGTTGATGGCCGGGCGGCCGCGCTAGGGCCGGGCCCTGAGTCACGGGGCGGACCGCCTTTATCACGAAGGGGATCGCGCCGCCGACGAATGACCCGGCGGGGTTTACCCTCCGCGCCGTGACCGCCAAACCAGCCGCCGCCGCGGGAGCACCTCCCCGTCGACGCGCCCAGAACGCGCAGCTCCCTCGGTCAGTGGCGAAACCGAAACGGCCGGGAGTAATCAGCTTTTCCTAAGGCTGCACGCCGAAAATCTGTTACTTCTCGTGTGCCTCGCACGCAACGTCCGAACGAAGCACGTCCCCGTCGAGTGACCTGAATGCGGAGCGTAAATCGGGCAGGAATGCCGCGGCGTTGTTTACACGGATGGAAGTGCGGCTCCATAAAACCTGCGCAGGCTGTGCGGGCCTGCCCAGGCCGCAGGGGAACGGAGCCTAGCCGCCTAGCCCAGCCAGCCGCCATCGAAATCGGCACTCATTCCGCGCCGCGTCCGCACTCCCAGCACCCCGCGCGCAACGGCCGGACTCGGCCAGTTGGCTAAACTGTCGTTGGCGCGCCAGTTTGCCAGTTTACGGCCCGGACACGGTCCGCAGGCTGCCTTCTAAAAGGACGCTGTCTCTCTCCCCCGTGCTGGGCGTCCCACGAGTGCGAGAGAGACAGAGCGACGAAAGCGCTGTTCGGAGTCGGGCCGGCCGGGGGAGATGATTGCGGTTGGGGGTTGGGGTGTCCAGCCAGGGCTGGCCAGGGCCAGGGCGGGGTGTCCAGGATGGCCAAGGCCCGGCGTGTCTATTTTATGCCCGCGCCTTGATTGAAAGTGACAAGGGCGGGGCGGGGTGCGGTGTAGCGGGGTGGGGCGGGGTTGCGATAGCAGCGAGCCAGGGCAATCCAGGACTCCGCGAGACTGACCGGAGACTGCCGGCCTTTTATACACTGATCGATACCGCGAACCACGATGTGCCGCACCGCTTGACCGCCGATAACCACACCAGACTGCGCGGTGCTTCAGCAAGGGCAGGGCAGGGCAGGGCTCCCCGCAGTGACATCGACATCCCCAAGGGACGCAGCCGTTCAATAACGCAGACAGGCTGAGGTTCAAGTCCAGCCGAGGCCTGCAGGCCGAGTCCACGAGCGAGGGAGGGGGTGGGGGAGGGGGAGGGGCGCCACGCCGGCGGGTCCGTGACGCGCCTGTTTGCCTGTGTCCGAAGGTGAAGGAGTCCGCGACCGCCAGCGGTTCCAGACGCCGCACGCCCAGCCTCCACTGCCGCGCCCGGCGGCGCCAGTAGCAAGACGGGGCGTCGTCGGCCAGGGCGGGCCCCCTCCAGGGCCCCCTGCAGGGCCTCCAGCAGGGCCTCCCGGCGCCGGCTCCGCGTCGGGGTGGGACTCGGCGACGAGCACACCGACGTGACGGTACGCCTGCACAGCGGCACCACGACGGACGGCAGGAGCAGTCGCAGCAGCAGGCCGTGCCGAGAAGCCTGGCCGCCGTCGAGGAACGCGTCTCTGGACAAGTAAGCCGCGACCTACCTGTAAATAAAACATAATTAACTTTGAAAATTACAACTGAATTTGCCCTCAAAAAGTGATTGAGGTTGTCCTACAGAGTGTCCTTGTTGTCCTGCAGGCTGGTGAGGGAGTGCCGCGACATGGGCACAGGCGCTCGCTATGGGTCGCAGTTGTCGCTGCGCCGCTACTCCGTCCCCGAGGCCGTCATGAGGCGCTGCTCCCTTCGCAGTGACCAGGGAGCCTCCAGCGCAGAGCAGTCTCCAGAACCCGAGCCCCGACTAGAGCCCCGACTAGAGCCCCGACCGGAACAACGACCGGAAGTCGAGCCGAACCGGAAGCGCGCCTCTGAAAGGACGAAGCAGCGCGTCGACGCCAACCACAACGAAACGGTCACGACCCGAAGCACCAAAGGGTGAGCCGCTTGGGTGGGTTTTGTTTACTTGTGGCGGACGGCGTGTGTTGAACCCTTATTCCGGTTTCAGAGTGTACGTGCTTCGCAGCACGCAGTGCAGCACGGCGAGCTCCTTCCGCTCGGACTGGACGACCACGACGGCGTGCAGCTCGTGCCGACAGCGCATGGCGGCGGCGTCCTCGATCGCCGCGACCTCGGTCGCCACGTCCGTGACGACCTCCATGACGGCCTCCATGGCGGCCTCCATGGCGGCGTCCATGGCTTCCTCCAGCCCGCCACCGGGCACCGCGGCCACCGAGATGTCCGAGGCCTCGTCGGCGACGAGGCTGTGCGTCCACTGCGGCCGCCAGGCCACCAGCAGCAAGCCGTGCACGCCCAGGGACAAGCTGGACCAGCTCGTCCTCACCGAGGAGGCCGCCGTGGTGCAGCAGCGCACCTCCACGCACACCGTCACGGACGCGGCCAGGGCCGAGGCCGAGGAGAGCGAGGCGGTGGAGAGGCGAACGCGCCCCGCTGCCTCTCAGGAGGTTACAGAGAAGGCGGGGGCCACACGAACGGAACAGACCAGGAAGAGCCACAAGCCCCGCCTCAAGGACGTGCCCGACGAGGACGCCCCGGGCTACGTGAGGATGTCGCCCGACATGGTGTCCGAGTCCGAGGGCACCTCCACGTCGTTCAACATGTCCCTGGCCGAGATGTCGCAGCGTGACGGCAGTCCCTCGCCGACGCCCACCCCTACGCCTTCCCCCACCACCTTCCGGTCCAGGCGGCCGTCCAGCGACCGCCTCAGTACGCCGGAATCCCTCCGGAGCGGGCCGATCACGGACGCTATCTCCGGAGACCTCAACTCTGGCTCGAGCTCCACAAGCCCCGAAAGGTCAATCCACTTCTCCAGCCCCGGCGGCAGCCCGCGCCGCCTGGAGCCTCCCCCGCCACCGCAGTTCGACGGCGACTCGTCCGCGGAGTCCAGGACGCCGACGCCGCCACCGGTGCCCCCGCGGCATGCCCCCGCGCCGCGCCGCAAGTTCGACGACAAGGTGCACGTCGTGAGCGAGACGTCCAGCTTCATCATCCTGGACGAGCTGGAGCACACGACGGACGCGGGGGACGCGGGGGACGCGGACCGCGACTCGGGGGAGGAGAGCGACTTCAACTCGCACACGGGCCGCACCGTGCGCCACGTCCGCACGCAGCGGGCGCAGCGCACGCGTGCCAACTGGAAGCACAAGGGCACGGCGTCGTTCGAGGTCCTCGAGGACGACGACGAGGACGTGGTGCGGCCGCCGTGCAAAGCTTGCCGTCCGCCGTGCCGCGGCGAAGCCAAGAAGGCGGCCAAGAAAGCGCGCAACGCCCACGGCGAGGACGCCGACGTGGAGAGGGACTCGCTCGGCGGCAGTGTGCCGGACATGTTCGGCGTGGACGACTCCGGCAACGTCGTGTTCTGCGAGACGGGCGTGAGCAGCAGGCGGGCCAGCGAGGCGGGCGTGGCGGACAAGAGCGCGGCGCGCGAGCCGCCGGACGCCGCGGCAGACAAGAAGGCCGAGGGCGCGGAGGGCCGGCAGGGCGCGCGGCACGCCAGGACTGGCGCGGTCGATAGCCATGCAGCGTCTAAGGGCGAACACGCACACGCCGCGCGGACCGCCAAGCCGGAGGGCCCCAACGGCCCCAACGGCCCCAACGGCCAGCCCGCGGCCTGCACGGCCGGCAGCAGCAACAGCAGGTGGCACGTCAGGAGCGATGCCTGCCACGGCCACGCCAACAAGAACGGCTTCAGGGAGACGGTGCGGAGCGACCACCACTCCGAGGAGCAGACTTACTTCTGCGGCGTCAAGGAGGTGTACTCGGTGACGACGGAGAAGGTGGAGAAGTGGGGCGGCGAGAGCAGGGAGTGGCTGGAGAAGACGACGTCGCACCGCATCCAGCACCAGCACCCCCACCCGCACGCCGACGCGCAGCAGCAGCAACGCCAGTACAGCCTGTCCAACCGCATCAACGTGGCCAACAACAACCCCATCCTCATCGCCAGCGAGATCCTCGAGATCCCGCCCGACCAGCGCATCCGGCCGGGAGCATTCGGGCAGTGCGCCAGCCGCCATCCGGACGGGGACTTCTCGCTGCCGAGCATCGGGGCGCGGAACAAGAGCCAGGCTGCAGCGCGCCAGCAGGTGCCGGACGACCCGGACACGGTCCCCGACCCCGGCCCGGGACCGCAGCCAGACCCCGGGGCCTCTACCGCGCACGTCCGCTTCATCGAGGACAACCCGTGGAGCGGCGGCCGGGCGCGGTCCATCGTCGCGGACCTGGCTGGGTCTGAGCCCGCCGAGATCCAGGTCGCCGTGCCGCGGTACCCGGCAGTCCCGCGGTCCAGGTCCATGGTGGTGAACACGTCCTCGGGCGAGGAGGACGAGGACGACGACCGCCTGGGCCGCGCCGACGACGACAGCGACGGGTGCCTGAGCTGCGCCGACAGCCTGGAGAGCGAGCGGTCGCCTCGGTCGGCGCGCCTGCACGACGAGAAGCCCGTCCGCGGCCACGTCGTGCTGCCCGAGCGCGCCGCCAAGCCGCCGCCGCAGCCGCGCCCGCAGTCGCCCAAGTCGTTCTTCGTGAGCCTGGCCGAGGAGCACGCCTCCGAGGACGACGTGCCCGTGTCGGCGCGCCTGCCCGACCAGCTGCGCGAGAAGCTGCTGCACCGCCACACCATGGTCAAGCTGCAGATGGCGCAGAACAGGCGCTTCCTCCGCACGGCCTGCGACGCGGTGGGAAGTACCACGACGCGCCGACGCGGCGGTCGCGGCGCCACGGTCCGCGTTGGCGTGACACACGGCAAGGACAGCAAGGTGACCGTCAGCGTGGAGCAGCGCGGCGGCGGCGACAAGGACCCCGTCAAGAAGGACAGGCCGCGGCCCAGACGCGAGCAGGTAGCTCCGGTGGTCCGCGTGCACAAGTGCCACGTCGACGAGGAGGTCAAGACCAGCTTCAAAGCCAAGCCGTACAAGCTGGCCCGCATCAACGAGTCCAACAACGAGGACGCTGGCGAGGACGCCAAGAGGGCCAAGCAGGCGAAGAACGAGGCCCGGGCGGAGGACCGCAGGGCGAAGCAGCACGCCAGGGCGACGGTGCGCTCCAGGCACAGGGACGCCAAGGACGCCGACAAGCAGGCCGAGGCCAAGGACCGCAGCCACAAGGCGGACAAGGCCGAGAAGGCGCAGGAGCGGACCAGGAACGGCGAAAAGCCGCGCGACCGCAGTTCGGAGAAGGCACACTCCAACAAGGTCACCAAGGAGGCGAGGCGGGAGCACCGCGTCACGCGGGACGTCAAGCAGAGCAAGACCGCGACGGAGAGCAAGAAGTCGCACAGCCACGTCTCGCAGAAAAACCTGGTCAACGTGCAGCGCTCCAGCGAGGCTCGCAAGGAGGAGATCATCTCGGACCTGGTGAAGGTCGCCAAGGACCAGCACAACGATGACCACCAGCGCCACCACCTCCAGCGCCGGGAGCAGGAGGCGAGCAAGGAGCGCGCGCGCACGAGAGCGGTCCGCCATGAGCACGCCGTGAAGGCCTCGACGCAGCACGGCCACACCGCGGCCGCCAGGGTGAAGCACTCGGGAGAGAAGGGGTCCGTGGCGCGCAAGGGAGAAGCAGCGACGGAGACGTCGGTCCGAGCCGGCGACCTCTCGGGGGACAATCGGCTAACTGGCAAAGAGGCGTCGAACGCGAAGAAGACCACCGCCCGCCACCACTCCGTCCATTCCACGGCGGAAACCGTGGCGGTGGCGAGGGTGTCGCGCGACACGGAGGACGCTGGGCCGTGCCATCGGGCAGAACGCCGTGGGGACGCGGAGCAGGCCAGAGAGACGCAGGGTCGGCAAGACACTGGCGTCTGCGACCATTCCGAGCACGGCGAGCAAACTGTGGTCAGGATGCCTCAAGAGCCGGTGGAGCCCGGTACATGTGGCTGTGCCTGTTCAAACAGCAATGAGCAAACCGTGAGGATTGTGAGAGTGTCTCAAGAACAGCAGGACTCTGGTGTTTGCGCCCATCGTGGTGATCAGACGGTGAGAGTGGTGAGGGTGTCGCAGGGTGCAGAGGAACTGAGCAGGTGTGCTAATGGGGATCATGACGACCAGACTTTCGGAGTGGTTAGGGTGTCACAGGGCCCGGAGGATTCCGCTGTCTGTGGCTATGCAGATTACAGTGAACAGACCGTGAGAGTGGTTAGGGTGCTGCAAGAACCGGAGGAATCCAGGCCCTGTGATCACGGCGACCATGAAGAGCAAGCTGTTGAAATGGTCAGGGTGTCGCAGGAACCAGTGGAAACTGGCCCTTGCGACCAACGCCAACACAAGACGGTGAAAATTATAAGTGTGGCGCGTGATTCCAAGGACTCCAGGTCATGCGAGCACTCAGAGCACAGCAACCAGATCGTGAAGGTGACCAGAATATCGCATGAAACGGATGATTCGGGTGTTGCAACCGGTCTGAACGCGACGGCAACACTGTGAAGCTGACCGCGACGTCGCAGGAATCGGAGGGCTCCAGCGTCTGCGATCACTCGGAGCACGACAGCGAAGCCAGGATGGCGACCCGGACGTCCAACGCATCGGAGGACTCCAACGTCTGCGACGAGTCCAGCCACAGCGGGTCGACGGTCAGGGTGACCACCAGGACCACCGGCCCGGACGGCCGCGCCTCGCACACCATCGCGACGCAGGTGTCAGACTGCGACATGCCGACGGCGGCCGACGTGCACACGCAGACCACGCCGAGGACGGCCAGGGTGACGGCCAGGACCGAGGTCCGGAGTCACGTGACGACGCAGCAGACGACGCGCACCGAGACGTGCTCGGAGACGAAGAGGGTCAAGGACGTGCAGAGGAAGGACGGCGAGGACGGCACCCGGGTGCACACGTCCGTAACCACCACGATGCAGACCAAGGACACCAGCACGCAGGCCGGCGAGGGCAAGCTAGTGGAGATCGAGACCACCATCCTGCACGGCGTGGCGCCGGACGCGCCGGCCGGCGGCGACACTCCCTCCAGAACGCAGGACCACGCCGCCGAGGAGGGGTGCCTCAGCCCGGCCGGGTCGCGGGCCGCCAGCAGCAGCAGGGCGACGACGGGGTCGCCGGGGCCGCGGCGGTCCGGGTCTGGCCTGCGGTTCCAGCAGAGGTTCGAGCCCATCCCCGAAGAGACGAGGAACGGCGGCGACGACAAGAGGTGAGGACGACGACCTCCGCCTGTTGTAAAATAGATGAGTCCGGGAAGAGTGATTGAATCTCTGAAAGTAGCGGTGTTTACTGACTTCGAGTGAATACCCCCTCGTTTCCAGGACGGAGCTGGCGCGCGTGCACTCCAGCAGCAAGGCCAGGGCGGCGTTGCAGCAGCACGCCGAGGACGAGAACGCGGACGTGCTGGCCATGTCCAAGGGCTGGATCAACTTCTACCTCATGAAGGAGCACGGGGACGCGGAGGAGGGCGTCGTGGAGGACGCTGCGCCAGGTACCTCTCAGCCAAATGGAGCGCCTGTGGAACAGAGGATAGGCAGTACTGCACAACACGCAAGTGATGCGGGCTGGCCTACCCTGCACTTCACAGGCGCTCGACCGATATCTCTGTCCAGACGGTGACAACCATCTTTCTCTTTTTTTTGCAGTGGAGAGAATGGAGTACTCGATGGAGATCCGTGCGATGCCCGACCCCACGCCCACGCCCCGCGGTCCCGTCTCCGCGGCCACGTCGCCGCTGTGCCTTCCGGCCGTGGCGGCCACCACCACCACGACGGCGACCTCGCCCATCCCCAGCGCGCGGTTCCGCAACGCCGACCCCGCTGACAAACCGCGGCCACGAGACCCGCCAGCTCCGAAAGCGCCCGCGACCAAAGCCGCCAACCCCAAGCCCCCGAAGGCCGCCGTCAAGCCTGTGGCCAAGGGCAAGGCGTACCGCGCGCGCGGCGTGGGCACGACGGACCACGAGGACGCGTCCACCAACACCATGTGCGGCCCCACGCTGCCCGCCCACGCTCCGGGTGCGGCGCGCTGTGGCAGGGAAGGCATGGACGTGGAGCCTGTCGCGCTGCAGGACGCGGCCACCAGCACACTGTGCGGACCCATGCTGCCGCCGAGGACGCTGGACTGCTCGACGGCCAGGTGCCTGCCCGCGCCGGGCCACGACGTGGGGGGCTTCATGCCGCCGCTAGACGCTGCCGCCGGCCACCTGCGCGGCCCCCTGGCGCCTCAGAGGCTCCCCGAAGCCGGCATTGTGCCCGCGCTGCCCCGCAACGCCCTGGACGAGGCCGCCTCCACGCTGTGCGGCCCCATGCTGCCCATGGACTTGGCCGGCCACTTCTCCGAGGCGGGCGTGTCGGCCTGCACGCACCACACCACCATGATGTCCATGTCGCGGAGGACCGTCGTCACCCGCCGGGATCGGCTGCCCTTCGGTCACGTCGGGGACCCCAGGTGAGCGTTCTGCCAAAAACAAAAACGACTCACAACAGGAAAGTCCTGGTTTTGAACGACGCCGCTCTTGCCTGCAGCGACTCGATGAGCACCTCGTCGGACAGCACCGAGTACATGGCGCCGCCCGTGCGCGGCATCACCGACGGCGACTCCACGTGCTCGCCGTGCTGGCGGCGGGCGCCGCGCGGGGGCGTGCCGAGGGGCGGCGCGTCGCGGGGGCTGCGGGGCCGCCCCCAGGGGGCGCAGGGCCAGGGCGCCGCCCCCGGCCTCTACCAGCACCACGTGCCGCCTCGCACGCAGCCGGCAGGGCCGCCCCCTCGAGGTCAGTTCAGCGCAGCGCCGGCCTTGCTTCCGCCCGGAGTGCCTCCGAAACTTCGTCGTGAGTGTGCGTTTGCTCGGCCCGCAGATGGAGTGGGGTGGACGGTGACGGTGGCGGGCGCCGGCGCCAGCCAGCAGGGTGACCTGGAGATGCGGCTCTCGTTCCCCGGCGACGACAAGGACCCCTTGCTCAGTGCCAAGGACCAGCCGGAGGCCCAGGGCGCCAAGAGGCGCAACGCGCGCAGCCAGGCGTCCAACATGTCGGCGCCGCCGCCGGGGCGGTGGTCGCTCACCATCAGAAACCAACTGCCAGGTACGCGGGGGAATCGCAACTTCCACGGCTCAAATGAAAAACGACGTGCCTTTGCTGAGACTCGAACCAACGGCCGCAGGGGACGGAGATCCAGGGCAGAGAGGGGTGTCCGTCTCGATGACGCCCGCCACGCCTCAGGAGAACCGGCCGAACGACGTCAAGGTAACCATCGGGCGAAAGCTTCGGAATACTGATCGATTTATTCTGTTTTCACCGTGCCTGTACAAAGAAAGATAAATCTCGTTCCGTCGCAACGAGCCGGGTGGCTTACGATTTCACCCCGAGTGCATGACCTTCTCCCGGAAACACACGCTTCCTTGCGAAGTCCGAGAAGCGGGAAATTCGAACTGCCTCGCGCTTTCTGTCTGCGTCACGGGTGCTTTCTGTGAGCCAACGCGCCTCGCCACCATCATCGTCATGACCATCATACGCTTCCCGTCTGCATGAACCGAAACGCCACCATGGCGCGCTTCTCCAGCTGCCTGGTTTATTTTCATTTATTTTCCACGACGACAATAGCGCGTCACATGTTCATATTTTCGTCTTCATCCTGCGAATAGCGAATTGATTCGTTACGTCATTCCAACTCGTTCGTCGGCGAATGAGGCTTGTCGTCACGCCACCGACACCACGACGTGGCGACGCGCACGTAGTTGAACTGTGCATGTTGGATGTGCTTGCATGTGCAGAGGTCCGGCCGGGCCGCCACGTCAGACAAGTCTCGCAGACCGCTGTCTCTCATCTGGCCGCGCCTGCACCAGGAGATCAACTCGGTCGCCGCCCACGAGTAAGTCGCCCGCCGCCGTCTTTACAGGTCACGTGAGTTTTGGGGACCGATTTGGCCCAGTGGACTGTCGACAGTTGCATTATGGAAGTGGAGACTGACTGGTTTAACACGTTGTTACTGCTGGGGCGTCAGAGAGGGCCGCCCAGCTGCAGGCAGTCATGAGCCAGGCGAAGCCACGCCGTGCGTAAACCGCGAGTACTAACGTCCTTCTGGCGCAGGGTCTCGGAGGCGGAGACGGTGCTCAGCGTGACGGGGGCGGCGATCCAGCGCCGGTCGCGTCTCCTCGCGCATCGCCGGTGATCGTGATCCGGCGGGTGACGCCGTCGCCGTCGCCCAGCGCGTCGCCCGGCGCGTCGCCCACCACGCCGCGGAGGTCGGCGATGAAGGCCTCGGCCGCCTCGCCGCGGCCGCAGTCGTCGACGCCGGTGCTGACGTCGCCCACCACGGTGCGGGTGACCATCCCCGCGCTGTCGCCCACCAGCCCCACGCCCACGGTGCGGGTGCTGTCCCCCGTCCTGACGTCGCCCACCACGGTGCGCGTCGCCCAGCCCATCCCGAGCGTGGCCGCGTCGCCCGCCTCGCCCACAGCCGTGGGGGTGCTCAGCCCGTCCGACCGCGGGGCAGTCCCACCACCCACCGAGGCGGGCCTATCGCCGGAGAGGCTTGTCATCAGGATCCAGGCGGCCACGCCACTGCCGCCGCCAACGCCATAGTCGTCCCCGCGGCGGCGTCCTCTCAAGTGATCTCCTACTTGTAGCACCAGCAGAACGTTGCGTACGGCCAGGTCTACTTGTCTATTTTATAATCTCATTGTCTTCGATCTATTCTTCATGCTTTTGCTCTACTTTGGAACGCGTTTCGTTAGCGTAGATTTGAGCGGAAGACTGCAGTGCAGGAGTGCCATTTTCCCATTTTTAGATTACACAAACGAGGTAGATTTTTATCACTGCCGCGACCTCACCCAGGGGGTCCGTAGAACTGTGTGTGAAGAGTCTAGTTGTTGTTAGTTTCCTTCCGCGGCTCGGCTCTGAGGTGGCCGTCGATTTCATCAAGTTTGCCGGAGCCAAATGTTATTGTTGATTCCTGTCGAGGCGTGCTCGCGGGGCGCACGCACACTGTACTTTCGTTCTTCCCTTAGCGCCGCGTGGCCCCGCGAGGACGTCTCATGGCCGCGTGCTTGTCCATGTCATGTTCCTATCGCAATGTTTATTAAACTGTTATTTATACGTACTTTGCGCTTTATTCCCACATGGTCCACGACACACAATTGCACACAACCACCACGACAAGAAATCACGACGGGATGACTTCCCACAGGCTCTGCAGCGTGAAGCCCTCCTTGAGCTTCTCCACGGCCAGCCCCAGCTCGTTGCTGTACACGGGCTCGCGGTCCGAGCCGGCGCGCCCGTCCGCGAAGTACGCCACGAAGGCGTTGGACATGTCGTTGTTGAGCTCGCCGATCTCCTCCACGTCCTCGTTGACGGGGACGGGCTCCACGTTGCCGGGCGCCTGCACCGCAAACAGAAATAACGAATTAGAACGCAGCCCCGTTGGAAACGAGAACTAAAGGCCACGGGGCACAGTGGGCCAGAAGACCAGTGGAGATGGCCAAACCTCTAGACGCGTTTTGAGCTCCAGAGTAGCTAAATGGGACTAGAACCGAACGTGTGACCCCACCAATGGATTCCTCGTTCGGAGAGCAACCCATTGGTGGGGTCACACTTTTGGTTCGAGTCCCATTTAGCGACTCTGGAGCTCAAAACGCGTCTAGAATTTTGGCCACCTCCACCGGTCTTCTGGCAAATCCACTGCGCGGGGACGAGACTCACGTTGTCGCCCCACGAGTACTCGACGCCGAAGATGGGGCTGTTGCTGTAGACCTGGTGCAGGGAGACGAGCTCCTTGTGCACGGCCTGCAGCTGCTCCACCGGGTCGATGCGGAAGCCCAGCACGTAGCCGCCGGACCGCTCGCCGCTCTCCACCACGAGCGCGCGCCCGAACTTGCTCTCGCGTATCCGAATCTAGATGCAAGTCAAAATGTGTGACGCAGGCACCAAGCAGAACAAAGACGAGAACGCCCTCCCCGCACTACTCACACTGCCCATCTGCAGGTAGGGCAGGGAGATGTTGAAGCTCTCGTTCATCTCGGCGAACCACACGAGGCGCACGTTGGTGATGACGAAGGTGCCCAGGTTGCCCTGCTCGCTGGACAGATTCCACACGCCGTGCACCGTCTTGTAGACCTGCTCCAGCGGCAGGATGCGCAGCTGCTTGTTCTGGATGAGCGCGCCGCGCAGCTTCAGCTCGCGGTACATCCGCGACGACGCGTACGCCCTGCCGCAGAGCGTCGTGTCATCGCCCTGTCTTTGTCGCACTCATGGGGCGCCCGCAGGGTGCGAGAGAGACAGAGCGACGGCACGGCCCGGTCAGCGCCCGGCGTCCATTGGGTAGGCAACGCGCCACACCGGCGCGTCTTACGGCACAGCCTAGGCCGCTCACGGCAGGCGTCTCCAGCCTCCAGGTGAAATGGAACTCACTTGTGGACCCCCGTGACGGTGGTGGTGTGCCTCCGGTTGCCGGGGATGAGGTTGGTGAAGATGAACTCGAACCGCGACGAGTTCCACTTGGTGAGGATGTACATGGCCTCCGTCATGCCCCTCTGCTTCTGCAAGAAGCGCAGGGAGATTCGTTAATCATTTATGATGAATGAATCATTAATGCCCGATTCTCGCTTGGGTCGGGTCGAATGAGGCTCGACTTACCGAGTTGACTGTCCGCGTGGTCACGTTCATCACGCAGTTGAGGCCGATCGCTGCCGAGGGAAAGAAGGCGCCTTAGTGGACTCAATAACAAAACAGACAAAAACAAAAAGACGGCCGCTACACTGCTGCTGACTGACACAGGTTGATCCTCGGCGAGGTGAGCGAGTGCCACATGACGCGCAGGTTGGTGACGATGAGGCGGCCGCGGTCGCCGTCGTTGCCCTTCGTGTCCTCTATGGCGTCCAGGCGGTCGATCAGCTTCTCGCCCGCCCGCAGCTTCATCTGCCTGCAAATGAACCATTCCCGCCCTGCGCTGCCATTGGCTGGACAAAGTGTCATTCACACCCCAGGCCGTCCAATCGCGCCCCCCTGGCGTCGTTGCCATGGCAACGCGAAAGCGATACAAGCCAGCGCGGCCGCGGCGAGGATCTACCAGGAAATACCAACCCGAGTGGCACGTCGAATCGCACTTCCTTATCCTCCCAGATGGAGTCGCCCATTCTCGGGGTGAACTTGCTTTTTTCTGCACTGAGACGAGGCTGACTTGTCGCTGCTCCCGTTGCAGCGATGATAGCCATATATCTGCCGAGCTGCAGTCAAGACGGCCAAGGCCCTCGGGGGAAGCGATGAGGGTCGCCGCGCGTCACGAGTAAATCGAACACAAAGGAACCCGCTTCCGAGTTGGGGCCTGTGTAAAATCCATTTCACGTCTCAGAAGCGTTGTCGAAAGTCGAAAAAAGGCCGAGGAGAACACGAGGACTCCAGTGGTCGCCGCTGCCTTCCCCTTCCCCTAGAAGACCAAAACAAGAAGACGAAACAGCGCGACGTGCAATTTCTCATCTCAGCGCTACAAACGACGCTTCTACCACCAACGTGAAAAAATACCAAACACTGTAAATCACGTTACGATATACGGCCAAAACATTTCATTTTGTGAACACAAGTCAAATTACGCTGAAAACTTGTTTTTACATTTGTTGAAAAGCATTCATAAAATGAAACCTAAGTTGAGAAAAAATATACTTTATTTCGGGTTGGTAAATAGAGGCTCAGGGAGGGGGCGGGGGGTCTGCCGTGACCCCCCCCTCCTCCTTCTACTTCTGAACTTCTACTGACTGACTACTGACTGACTTGTTTTCAATTTGCGTCTCCGTTTCACTGTCTCCAGACACTGGTTTTCCAGTCTTGGCGCCTATGTTTCGACTCAACATCAAGTTCATGTAGTAGTCTTTACAAGCAAGCTGACGTTATTGTTCTAAAATGGTCGATCCAATTTTCGACTATCAGTTTCGTCTGATTTTAATAGGAGACAGTACCGTTGGGAAAAGTTCTTTGTTGAAATATTTCACTGATGGGAAATTTGCTGAGGTTTGTACTGGCTCTTGCTTAATTAATGTCGTGTCTGTCTGACGTAAATTCCTTGAGATACGTTTGGTTTTGAATGTTAGATAAGGTTATGGGTGTGTTTGCCATTGTTTACATCCAATGACTAATATTTATCGTCATATTCCTTTTTGAGAATGTATATCAGTTCACAGTTAATAGTTTGGTACACCTGTACACCCAAGTTCTGATTACCATCACTCAATTACTCATGTGTTATTTGCTATCTATTTGCATTTTAGGTGCACTATTATTAAACCAAACGGTTTGTGTTTCTTGTTAGCTTTCAGATCCAACTGTTGGAGTGGACTTCTTTGCAAGACTCATAGAAGTAGAGGATGGCAGGAGAATAAAACTGCAACTATGGGATACAGCAGGCCAAGAGAAGTTCAGGTGCTTATACACCCTTCAAGTTGCGTAATAATTAAGTACCGTCTTGTTTGAGTTATGAAGCATTTGTTTTTGACTTATCCTTACAGGTCAATCACGAAATCATACTACCGCAACTCAGTTGGTGCTCTTCTTGTCTATGACATTACCAATCGCAAAAGCTTTGAACACATTCCACGTTGGATGGCTGAAGCAAAGAGGCATATTGAGCCTCACCGACCTGTCTTTGCCTTGGTTGGATGTAAGTTAGACTTAGTTAAAAATAGTTCCAATGCTCGGGAGGTTACAGAAGAGGAGGCTGCAGAATTTGCTCAAACTCACAGTATTCCACATATTGAAACCTCTGCTCGTACTGGACATGGTGTAGAAATTGCTTTCCGCTCTGTCACCCAGGAAGTTTATGATCGTATTCTGTCTGGAGAGTACTCAGTTGAAGATGGATGGGATGGGATAAAGTCAGGGTTTTCTCGCCCAAGTGGCATAGACTTCAGCCTAGAGGAAGCGGAACCTGCTCGGTCCTCATGTTGTTAATTTTGATACAGTTAATTTAAACTATTGACTCTGCTTTGTTGCCTTGTGACATCTTTGTCCATTTAAAATGATAAAAGGAGGTAAAATTTTTCTGTGGAAAATTTATACTTGGCTATACATATGCACCAAGGATTGTGATTTAAAATCTGGGCTGGATCCAGTAAGTGCTGCATTTTGTTAGTTGCTATGACTGCATTAACTCTCTGATTTTGTACCAAGCCTTGCAGCTAACTTTGCGGAATTGTTCACATAATTTTATTTACTCTTTTTTATATGTATTCTGACCTCACTGAAGACACACCAAAGAAGTGAAAAATAGTGGACAGTAAGCAATAGTTTCAACCAATAATGTTGTAATTGATTTGCTCATTCTTTTAAAAGTTTAAAACGATAATCAACTTTGAAGTTTGTGTTATCTATTTGATGGCTTTTATGAATTTATTATCCTCTGTAGTATTTGATCAGTAGGATGTATATGTATTATGTTCTTTATTTGTATAAAAATGTAGACCGTAGGGTATAATCAAAAGAACTGTTCGACATATTTGAGACATATTTGTACAAGTTATTGATCATTTGGTGTCTTGAAGCCAAGTTTTTTTCTAAGTGTCTGGTTTTTTGATAATGATAAGAACTTGAAGGTATTTGATTTCTATCTTTCCTTGAATTGTTTGTGCATCATGGTTGAATTGGTCAATTATTTATCATACAAAACGCATTCTTAGTTTTTGCTCTAAATTATGTGGGTTTTTGTTTCTTCTTAATGACATTTTCAAGAAACTAATCGCTTAGTTTTATGTTTACTCATTGAGTGTGCCAAAAAATAACATTTTCACTTGCTGCTTTGTAGATTGTGCCTTTGACACAAACAAAATAGGAGGTCAAATCCATATTGCGTGACCGCTTTTTAATTATTTTTTTTCTAAAGCCGATATGTCACACACTATGTTAATTACATGGGCAAATTCAGGTTAGCTCATTGAGGTCACAAAGGGGAGGAGGGAAAAATCGGCTGTGCAATATGGGTATGGCCTCCAACAAGAACAAATGATGCAGTGATATATATCATTTAATTTTATTTGATGATGCTTTGGAGTTTTACCATTAGTTTTCCTCCCAGTAGTAAAATATTCGCCTTTTATTTATTATGTACCAGTTCCCACCAAATTCCGGTAACACAGTATGCTAATGCACTTAGATGGGATTGTTTTGTAATTTTACCATTTATTTAACTAGTCATTAACTCATAGATTTTAAATGGTGGTTTGAAATTCAAGTAAACTAGCCACAGATTTATAATGTAGGTGTGTTGTTCTGTTGACAAAGTCTGTTGAGTGCTGAAGGCAGAAATTTGAACATTCATGTTCTAAGTGAAAGTCTGTCCTGTCATTATTGATTTCCTTGAACTGTGTAACAACAATTGTCTGAAGCATTCTACTTAATGAATTTCAAGGATCATTAATATTTGCATTACAGCTGCTACAAATTCAAGATGTGATATGTGAAAGATGTCTTTCCTTCCCATGGCAGGTAATCCCTGTAGTGATAGGTCATCCAAGCATAACAAATGTTACCAAACTTTGTATGAGCAAGTATAACTTGTTTGGGTAAGGTTTCTTTTATTAGTAGAGGATAGCATAAGGCTTCTGTGATTAGTTCATTTGTGAAGTGGCTTGTATATTTTCATAAATGGTGACATAAAGAATCATGTCCAATGAGGAGAGGCAAGTTTCGTTATTAAAATACAAAGAAAACACAACCTTTTAATGCATTTCTTTAATTCAAAATTTTCATCTAGTTTATCAAAGCCTGGTGCCAATTTTATTTTTTTGTTTTAAATTTTTAATCTTGTGTGCCAAGATTACTACATAATCAACTAACAGGTACCACTTTAAACATACCTAAACAGAGGGCATTTGTGTAAATAGCCAATATCACAGACAAGCTGGAAGATCTGGACTGACCAGTCCAAGATGTTTCACATCTGCAGTTCCGTTTCAAGTTGATATTTCAATTACTTACAACTGAAAACCTCTTGAAATGCATTAATGTAAAGGGAACAAGTGCATGAAAATCATAAAACATACATTAGCCACACTTGACAATCATCCAGGACTAAGTATTAAAATTGCAAGAACAGGAACTTGATTGGAGAGCAACAAACAGTGATCATCGACTATTGTAATATTGAACCAAGCCAACAAAACCTGAAAAAAAAAATCATTAAACGTGCTTGGAGAAGATTAACGATGGGATTCTCACACACAGCATTTCACACATTGTTCTAGTAATGATATGGGACAGGCCAAAAATTAATGTTGCTTTCATTCCCAAAAATGTGAGACACAAACAACAGTACAAAATAGAGAGGCATCACATTGCCTTTAAAACACAAAATAATCAATGGAGTCTTAGATTATAAAAGTATTAATCCTCAAGTAGGAAAAATTGCTTTTAATTTATAAGGCACACTAAAAATTCCCTGATGTGAGTGATGAGAATACCATTTAAAATGAGCACACAACCTTACACTACCACTTGACCCAGGCTTTGACACACTAGATGATAATAAAATAATAATATAAAGTCAACTAAATGCTTATGTAGCAAATAAAGAGACACAAGTAGGTTGGTAGGTTGAATGTATCAGTGGCTACCAATCATTGCATCTTGATTCAGACTAGCTGATGAGAACACCAAGTGCTTTCAGGCAAACTGATGCAGCTTCTGCCTTGGCTTGTTTTTTGTTTGGACTAGCAGCACTAGGCGTATACTCCAACCCATTAACACGTACCTATGAAAGGAAAAAGAAATCATTTAACAAAGGGTGGGGGAATTATTTCTTAAAAATTTTAAGAAACATTCAACAATATACCTTGAAGAGAAAATCCTTTTTGTGATCTGGTCCAGTTTCCATGCACAACTCAAAATGAGGTGCTCCATAGTGGCGTTTGGAGCAGTACTCAGTCAGCAGTGAAACAGGGTGCTTCCCTGAAAAACAACAAGGGGAATATATTTTACACCAGAAATACCTCTGGTTTCAGGTAGTCTAAGATATACACATACCTTCTAAAGTGACAGGGTTAGGAGCCTTGGCAGCCCTTGGCTGACCAACTGTAGGTGGGGGACGTCTGGCTCGAATCTCTTCAGCGGCCACCAAGCCTAATAAAACAGAAAAATTATCATGTTACAAATATTTTATGAAAAGAAAGGTCGGTCATACCCTGAACTATCTCTATTGACCTACCCTTGCGATCCATTTTTACTTCAAGTTGAAGGGGTTCCTGGCACCCCTCCTTGTTTTTCCCTAGGCCCTCTCCTGGCTTCCATCCCATCTTCTGAAGGAGCGTCATTCCCATACCACTTCGAACAGGGGTGGCTGTCTGCAGTTGGTCCTGTGAATCATGATGTAGTTCAGTTTTCGTTTCAGGCAGATGAGAAAAGTACTTTTTGTTTAGAAAAGTAAACTTGGCTTGAGGTTTAGATAATATACCAGTACATTGGTGAGACTATCTTTACAAGTGACTAGGATAAAAATATACTCTTTGTACACAAATAAAACTGAAAAAGGAAAGAAAATATGACCTTTCAACACACAGCCATAACCAAAATGTCAGAGATTTAACATAGAACTTAGATAAGTACCAGTACAAATATTTACAAACCATTGGATCATATTATCAGGTATGTAAATAGAAAGTCAAGTAGTATTTCCCTAAAAACCATCTTGAAATGGTTTTGAAGCTGAAAAAGGCGACTGTGAAATGAAATATTTCTTCTCATTTGTCTTCAATATATGGAATGTCATTGGATGAAAACCCTCTAAATATCCAACACTGACAGCACTCTATGGTACATCTCCACAGATGTTCTTGCGGAGAGCCTTTAGAAAAATCTACTCACCACAGCGCCTGTAGTGCTGCGACCACCTTAGAATTACAGAAGGCATCTGCTGTAGGCTCCAACTGTGTTTCTAAAAGCCTGAAACAAACTCTCAGGTGGTGGACCGCGCAGCACAATCGTAGCTGACACTTTCCATGCCTCACCATACAAACACTTTATTGGAATGCCACAACAGGCAACTTACATTCCGCCGGCTACCTGAATCACTTGCGCTGTTGCCAGTGAAATCAAGACAGCTGCTAGAAGGGAGAGGCATGGAGTGTCAGATACTGTATCTACTTGTAAAGTGATGCCATTGTGCTGAGCATCCAGAACAGCCACAGAATCCACCTCCATTAGCAGGAAGTGGTCTGAGGCTGTTCACAAACCATGGTTTGCACCTGAAAATTTGTCACAGGCTAATGCTAGAGAGCCTCACAGTAGTACTCTACTCTGAGGGTCTCTAGCTACAGTCTTTTACAGTCCATAGTTAACACGTAGTCCCTCCCCTTCCAGTGCCCACTATTAAAGTAGCATAGCATGTGATTTCAGTCCGTGACAGTTGAGCAACCAGAAACATTTCAAATAGAGTTTGAAATTGAATCTTTCCTATAATAACAGTTGAATCAATTCAAAACTTCAGGACTGGAAACATCTCCAATTTCTTAAAAGGCAGACGTTTTTAAAAGGTTGGTAGTCAGTCCCAAAACGAATTCCTCACACACAGGAACACACAAGCATACACAAACCCGAAATAAAATTATCACAATATGTACCTTCAAAATTAATTGAAGGAGAGATGTGACTCCATCTCATTTGATGGTGTATATTTCAAAGAAAAGGGAACAATTGAACAGATTTCAAAGATACGGTGCACTGCTTTCTTCACAGCATTCACAATGTTAGAATCATTGCTTTGGGATCACTTACTTTACGAGCCCATGCCTGAGCACCAGATGCAAGCTGCTGGGGGGTCAGGGGCCGAACTCCGGTGTCACCTGTATACTGTCCAGGCAATACATTGCTCCAGCCATACATATGCTTGAAACAAAAACAATAAAATAATAATAATTTTACAAATTAAAATTTACTTAACATTGTAAAAATTAAAAGTACACTCACATCTCTATACTGATTATGTTCACTATCATGTTTCCTTCTCATTGCTGCTAGCCTTTCAGATACCAAGGTCCCAATGTCGATCATCTGAGAAAAGACAGAGGATTAGGAACATAAATACAGAGAATCGGTGCTCAGGTACTTAGATTGAATCTTACATCAGTCGAAGGCGCTGATGCTGAAGTTGGAACAGGATCGACTGGTTTTGCGGCTTCAATAGCCTTCAAAGAAGATGATTTTTTATCATCTTTCTTGGAAGGAGGAGCAGGAAGTGCGAGTGGGGTAGGAGTAACAGGAATCCATTCACTTTCTACAATAATAAATACCAAGTTACATGCATTGATGTTTTCCCCATTAAGTTCATTGAGATTAAGATTTGCTGATCAGAAAATAAATTTACCAGTTTTACGATGCTGCTGTCCGCTTGAAACAGGGAACTGGATGCGAAGTTGTGATGATTCTACAGTCATCTCTCGTGACGTTTTACAAGGTAATGGTACAGCATTCTAACAATGGAGCAGGAAGACACAAATAAGAAAACAAGAAACACTAAATTTACAAATTCACTAAAATTATACTCAAAATTAAAAACCCACCTTAATATTCATTGAAATAAATGATGGTCGATCCTTTACTAAGAAAGGATGATGGAATGCCTTTTCAGAATCACTGTCCTCTGACCCACTTAAGCTTGAGAGTTCACCCATGTTTTCTCTCTTGGACAATTCCTTACAATACTCTGCACAATAATGATAAATAGTTCATTATAATGCATGATTGAAACCAGACATGCAGAACATGAAGATCACTGAAATATGTACCTGTGAGCTCATCCACCGTTTTAGCAGCATTTTTCTCAGGTTTACTAGTTGAGGACGCTGATGTTGAAGGTGGACTGCCAGCCTTCCCCAGCATACTAGGTGGCAGAATTCCTGCTTGAAGCATATTCATAGCGTTTCTTCTAGCAATTTCTAAAAGTTTTTTCTTATCAATGTGATCCCTTTTAAGAAATACAACAAAATTAAATAATCATTCATTAAAGAAGGACAAAAGGAAATTTATACTTGAAACTTACGGTCGTTTACGGTCTCTGGACCTTGATCGCCTATCTCTGCTATGCCGTCTTCTACTGCGAGATGAGCTTCTATTTCTACTTCCATGACGTGAGCGGCTTCGGCTGCGGCCTCGTCTTCTGTCTTTGCCATCCTTGTCCTTCCTGTCTCCATCCCTGTCCTTCCTTTCTCCGTTCCTTTCTTTGTTTCTTTCCTTGTCCCGTGATCTCTCTCTAGCTCGGTCTCTCTCTCTATGCCTATCTTTATCTCTTTCTCTCTCTCTGTGTCTGTCTCTATCTTTCTCCTTCTCCCTTTCTTTCTCCTTGTCTCTCTCTTTCTCCTTCTCCCTTTCTTTCTCCTTGTCTCTCTCTTTCTCCTTGTCCTTATCTTTTTCTTTCTCCTTTTCTTTATCCTTGTCTCGATCTTTCTCCTTATCCTTATCCTTTTCTCTATCTTTCTCCTTGTCCTTATCTCTTTCTTTCTCTTTCTCCCGGTCTTTATCCTTATTCTTGTCTCGGTGTTTGTCCTTGTGTCTACAATGATGGTCCTTGTCTTTACTTCGACTTCTGCTTCTATGTCTGGACCGTTTGTGGTGCCTTGAGCTTCGCTCTTGGCTATGAGATCTAGAAGAACAAAAAACAATATTGTTACTCTATTTATACAATCAAGTAAGTAAATGAATTATTAAAAAAAAATATATTGTAGTTTATTTGATACTTACCTCTTGGATATTTTTGGATCGTCATTGGGTTTTGCGCTAGGTTCTGCTGGTTCTCCACCCTCTACACAAACACAGAATAGCAAAAGATAAGAAAATATTACAACGGTAAATCAAACAGAAACATAGGAACAAGAAAATACCTGAGCCTAGACTGGGAGCGTTACAAGCATCCTCAGAGAGATCACTTGCAGTCTTTTGAGAAGAACTATCAGACAGTTCCCCCTCCTCATATTTCTCTGCCTTAGCTTTGGCCTGTTCTTCAACTTCTTTTACTGTCGCTTCATAAACAGAGCTGAATTTCAAGTCTTTGATAACAATTTTTCCCATTGCAGGCTTTGCTTTGTCTGGGGAAACAAAAAATTGAAGGTACAGAAATAGAATTGATTTCAACTTCAAAATGCCAAACAACAAAAAATCAAAAGAAGAATAAAATTGAAAACTAAAACATCTGAACATGAAAAGATTCTGTCTAAGAAGAGTACCAGTTGCTATCTTGTCAAAGCTGGAGTGAGGAGCCATGTCAAAATTCCATCACATGTTTGGTTGCTATGGAAACTACAAACCACAACACTGCCCTGTCCTACAAAATCAATACTAATTCTTTGCAAATATGTGTCAAAAAAGATAAACAATGCAGTGATGATCCTCAAGAAACTATCTCAAAAAGATTTGGCTCAAATAAGGACAGCGTGAATAATTGATTGACACCAAGTTGATACCACAATTTTGGATTGCGCATGCCGAAATTTTTATTTTTATTTTTATCCAAAACATCAACAAACCAATGAAACCTTTCTCATACTCACCAATTTTGTCATCACCAGCTTCTGCAGGTTTTATACTTTCAAAACCTGAATTGTCTTCTTCGGCCTCCTTTCTCAAGGCTGACAGGGAAGGTGGTGATGGGCAAGTGACAGATGTTGACGACACTTCATTTGTTTCAGGATCAGCATGTCCATTAACTTCCTTCTCCGTTTTGATCTCAATAGTGGGTTCTTTAACAATATCTTTTGTTTTAACAATCTCGTTAGTTGAGTCCTTCTCTGAATCACTGATCGGTTCTTTTTTAACTACAACAGTTGGGCTTTTGCTGTGTCTTGAACGTTTCCTGGGCTTATGCTCATCGCCACTGTCCATGTCACTGCTTTTTCTGCGATGTTTCTTCTTAGACTTGTGTTTTTTCTCCTTCCGCTTATCGTGTTCATTCTCTGAATCAGAGCTGTAAACATCATTGTTTTCTCCACTTAATCGTCTTTTACTTTTGCTCTTTTTCTTATGTTTTTTCTCCTTTTTATGCTTCTTTTTGTGTTTCTTAACTGTTGATTCATTTTCACTTTCATCTTGAGAAGCTATAAGTGACTCAGGAGGCTCCGCATTAAAAGCCCCAAAAAGTTCCGTCAAAATCTCATTAGAGGATTTTGAGGGAACATTACTACTATCTTCTTTAGAGGTAATAGCAATGTTCCACAGTTCCTCAGCTGGTTCGCTGCTAGAAACTTGATCCTCTTCTGCTTGTGCCATAGCAAGGTAGGCAGAGGTCCAGACTGTGCCTTGACAAGTGACAAAGTGCTCTCTCACCACAAACTACCGGACTTCTTGGCGGTGCCGTGGTCACGTCAGGGGAATTTCTTGACAGGCATGCGGACATCAAACCAAGCCAACGGGCAACGGCGTGTGGAATTGGCTAATTTTTTACCTTACCGGTCGGAATGGGACCACTTAGGTTAACTCCCATTTTCGACGAAAAAGGGTACAGGCAACACACTTCCACACTAAGTGCACTCACACCATTGAAAACAAGGCTCTAGATTGCAAAGATGTGGTGTACAAACGCACAAAAAGTGGTACAAACAAGAATGAGCTGAATGAAACCAAACAAAACCCTAAACCCACACCCCAAACTTGCCCCAAAACTGATTGTAAACGAACGATTGTGATTAGTAGGCGAGTACGGACGGAGGGGAGGGGAGGGGGTAAGTTGTTGGTTATGAGAAACTTTGAGGAACGCCGTAGCGTAGTTCGAAACGTGGCCGCAAGATGACTCTGCTCGGCGTCAGCGGGGGACCGAAGCTAAACGAACAGAAACAACAGAAGTCAGTTGCAGACTTGCGCTCTGCCAAGAAACACGCGTACGTCGCGATCCTCGCCGCGGACGTGGAGTCTATACGCGCCGCTCTGTTTGTTGACACCTGTTGCTGGCGTCGGCAAGAACCAAAGTGATAGCATTACAGCATCGCTGCTGACAGTGCTGCGAGTGTGTGAAGGAAGTGAGGAGGCTTCGAGAGTGTGTGCGTGTGAGTGAAGTGTGCGGCCGTTTCGTGTGTCGTTGTGACGGAATGCAATTAATAGAATAGTGTGCAAGTGTTCCGTGAATAAAACCCCCCCGGATTTTGGATACACGTCCATTTTTCGTCGGATAGTTGCAACGAGGAAAGGTGAGTGGTAACCCAAGCCGATTGTTGACTCGGAATTTGGTTTGGTTTTGCCGGCTCGACGGCTTTCGGCGCGCCGCGCTCCGCTCGCCAGGCAAGTTGGAGAAGAGAGAGACAGAAGAGGAGAGATGAAACGTAGCAGCGTACCCGAGATGCCGCGCCGAGCCGAGCCGAGCCGAGCCGAGCCGAGCCGGCCTGAGCGCAGCCGAGCCAGCGGGAAAGACCGGAGCCCGGAGCCGAGCCGAGGCCGTGCGGACTGGAGCCAGCGGGGCCGGGACGGGGGGAGTCAGGGGGAGTTGGAGTTCGCGGTCCATTGACCGCCCAGCCCAGCCCAGAGGTCCAGAGGCAGCTCCAGCTCAACTACCTGCGTCCAGGCTGCGTCCCTGCGTCGGTCTGTCGGGCTCGGACGCCCCCGGCCCGTGTCCTTTGCACCTTTGCCCTGTCTGTCTCTCTCGCACCTCCTCGGAACGCCCCGTGAGTGCAATAGCGACAGAGCGAGGACGAAAGCGCTGTTCGGAAGCAGCCTTGCCTGCTCCGCCCCTATCCTGCAAGCACTCCCGCCCCTGCACCCGCACCCACTAAAGCTAGCACGCAGTTTGCCAGGGGATAGTGATTCCAGACGGCATTCCGGAGGCGAAAAAGGGATGCATTTGGTTCTGCCGCCGGGGATGTTGTCGGTTCGCTGCGAATTTCGCCCCCCCCCCCTTTTCCCACTCGAGAAGAAATTGCCAGAACTGCTGGACGACCATCTCACTCTTCTGATGGACTTGCAACTCCCGAGAGAAACGTTAACAGAGTACCGACCAATAGGTTTCGATCACAAATCACCTCCCGAATCATCTCCAGGACGCGTGCGTTTTGCGCGTGGGCTGGTGCGTCGCAACGCGCGTTCAAGTCTCTGGGGGCGCGTCGCGGAGGAGGTCAAGGAGGTCGAGGAACACGCATTGTCGGGGAGGCTGCGGGGGAGGAGCCGTGTCGAGACGGGCGGACGGACGGCGGCTGCGTATACTATGAGATTGAACGCTCTCCATTTGCGTAACGCGCTCGCCGCTCGCGTGCGCGTCCTGCTCCTGACTGCGAAAGTGGTTCATTGTGAAATGAGCGTCCACGTCGTCCTGGCCGCCCTGCTCGTATGTGCGATGTTACACGGCGGTTCCCGCGCCCGGTGCAAGCAGTGCAAGCAACACCGGCGGGGGGGATCCTGGCCGAGGGGGCAGGAACGCGAAGGCTGCTTCCGAGCAGTGCTTGTTCGCCGTCGCTCTGTCTCTCTCGCACTCGCAGGGCGTTCCGTGTGGGTGCGAGAGAGACGGCGGCGGGGCGCTGGCGGCTTGGCCGCCGAGGGGGCGTGGGAGCGGAAGGCATCTTGTGGGACTGGGGCGACTTGTGCGGCGCCGGGAGGGCCGGGCCGGCCGACCCCGTCTGGGGCCTCGTGCATCGTGGCCTCGCTGCGATGGGGTGGGAGACACACTGGGAGGGGGCGTCCGTTGTTTTTCGCGGAATGTGAGGCCACCGGAGAGGGGCTGCAAGGCTGCAGTGTCGTCCCCCTCCCCCTGCCGTTGGCTCCGGCCGCGCCAGCCGCGCCCCCAGAAGCACGTGGTGGTGTCTGTCGCCCGCCCCGCCCCGCCCCGCCCGAGCCATCTGCAGAGGAATGCGGTGTACGTGTCGCGCGGTGTACGAATGCCTGCGGTAGGGGGCCAGGAGGGGCTTGGAGGGGCCCGGGGGCCGGGAGGGGGCTGGCGTGCAGTGCGAATAGGAAAGCGTATTCCGGAGCACGGCGTGGAGTGCACGGAGTCGACGGAGTGGAGGAAGAGGAACAGGACTGTCATGCCGTGGGCGTGGCCGCGTGGCCGCGTGGCCGGGGAGGGGGGCAGCACAAGCAGCACGCCGCCAGGCCGGCAGCAGCACTTTGTAACTTGTAGCGCCGTTTAGCCGCTCGGCCCGAGACGCCCTGCGACGCCGCGACGCCGCGACGCCGCGACGTGGCCGATGATGACGCCGCGGTCGGGCTGCTCGCTGCTCGGCTTGATGAGCGTCGGAATTCGACCTTGACAGGTGTCGAGGCCGTGGGGATTACAGGTGGGGGGACTGGCCGTCCCTCCCCCAGATTCATCACAGGCCTGCCGGCCGGCCGGCGAGGCGAGGCGCGTCCACGAACGGCCGACCGGCCGACCGGCCCAGCGGACCCCGGGGGCCTCAAAGGCCTCAAAGCACATGATACCGCTACGGGCCGGCATGGCGTGGCGCGGCGTGGCGTGGCGGCGTGCCGCGAGGCAGGTGGCGCCGCCCATCTTCCCGCCGCGGCGGCCGCCCGAACTAACCGTGTCGTCGGCCCTAGAGCGCGCAGCCCGGCGCAGCCCGCCCTGGATGAATGGGTGCTTGAATGGGACGGGCAGCCGCCTGATTCCGAAGTAAGGATCCCCTCCGTCGCTCTGTCTCTCTCGCTCCCCTGCGGAGTGCTCCGCGAGTGCGACAAAGACAGCGACGATACGATCCGTGAGTCGGCAGGCAGGCAGGGCCAGGCGGGGCGGCGCACTTTCCCGATGCCGATCTCGGCGGTCCTCGGGGAATTCGTGACGACAGGCCGTGGGGCCGAAGGGGGCCGACGGGGGCCGCGTGAGATATCAAAAGGGGACCGCGCTTTGGCAAAGCCTGGGCGAAGCCTTTCGGTGCTTCGCGGCCCGCGTGCCTCGCGGTGCTTCGTGCTTGGCGTCGCTTGCTCCAGCCGGCAGCCTCCAGCTCGAGGCTCCTGGAAGGGGCGGGCCGCGCGCCGGCCGGCCGGCCAGGCAGGCCCAGGGCCGGGCCCTGGCGATGCGCGGTGCGCGGTGGACGGCCGGATGGCCGATGCGCGGCTCCGCGGCTCACAACCTGTCTCTGGATTGCGGCCGGGGCGCGGCGCTGCGCTGCGGGGCGCTGCGGGACTTGGCCGCGGTGCAGGGTATTCTCTCATCCTCGAACCGGGCCGGCCAGGCCAAGGGCCAGGCCCTCACCAGGACCGCGTCGTTCTGTCTCTCTCCCTCGCACCCGTGCGGGACGCTCCGTGAGTGCGAGCAGTGCGAGAGAGATGGAGCGTCGACGGCACTGTTCGGAACCAGGCTCCAGGCCCACCAGGCCCCCCTGACGGATGGGAGGTACCCGCAGCGATCCGAGGAGGAGGAAGAGGAGAGATTATGGGTCCTGTGGCTGGGTGCCTGGCTGCTTGGCTGCCTGGCTGGCTGGTCACTTGGATGGCACTGCAGCCAGCTCGACGGAGTGAGCATGCAAGGCATGAACGGGCAGTGCTGGCTGGGCATGCCTTGCTCCTGCTTTCCCTGCCGCCCAGGGTACAGTCCCATTCAAAAAGACGAAAACTTAAGAAACTGATAGGAAAAATGAAAAGCTTGGTTTTGAATGTTTTGGCTGGACGTACTTTGAGCGAGCCGCCGTCTGGCTGGAGTGGCGTTGAGTAGAATTTCGAGCGCCATCGCGCAAGACAACCTTAATAAGTTATCGTGGTTATACCATCTTTACCTCCCTCAACTTTTTCATCGTTCCTCTGGTGGCCGCCGTTATCACGATGCGCACGACGTTGCCGCGCCTGCGCTGATTGGAGCCCCAGAAGAGTGTAATTGGTGGAGTTAGAATTTCGACTTTTTCATGCGATGCTCTTGCGCCGCGCCGCTTTTTTCTGCATCCTCGACTTTTTTTTAATTTTTTGAAAGTGTATAGCGCGGCGCTTCTTCCCTGCCGCAATGACTGGATGCTTTCTGCGGCGCCGCGGCTGGCTGGCTGGCGAGGAGGTGTCGGAATAAGGAGGTGAGGTCGATTATGTTTGACATTTGCTTTTCGATGCCGCGGTCGGCGAACCAACTCGCGCCGCACGCCACGCCACGCCACGCCTCGTCCATGGAATGATGGGCGAGCGCGGTTTTTGCCCGATAATGACGGCTCCCTTGGAATGAATGGGAAGCCCACGGCGGCGGCCCCGCGGCGTTTGAATCCGCCGAGTGGATTTTCAATTACGAGGCTGCGGGTTCAAACGCCTCGCGCCGCGCCCTGGCTTGCGCCCAAGGCTCGCGGAGGGAGAGGAAAACTGGGAATGTCGGAAACAGAAACTAAAAATGAAATGAGAATGGATTGTTGTTGGATGGAATGGGTTGCCTTATCACGAGCGGCCTTGCCGGTCCTGCCTCGACTTCGCGGCCTCGTTATGCATCGGGCCGCCCCGCCAGGCAGCCAGCCAGTGGAGCAGGTCAGCGATTTGCATTTCGGAGAGGAGAAGACTGCCGCCCTGCAGACTGAGACTCTCATCGCCCTGTCTCTCTCGCACTCACGGGGCGTCCCGCACAGGTGCGAGAGAGACAGGGCGACGAAAACGACTCTCAGTCTGCTGGTATGTGAACGGTGTGGGGCAGAGGGCGACCAAAGAAACCCTTTGGGCGCAGCCAAAGGTGAGCAAGGCGAGGGCCTTGAGAGAGGAGCCCAGAAGTACAGGTGAAATGGGTTGCCGGGGAAGCGAGCGTTCCGATTTTGTCCTGACAGTAAATTTTCAAAGAATGCTGGTGCAACACTCTGAGGCCCAAATGAGTTACGTAGATTGTGCACGGCACCTGGCGACCGTGCCCACAGTGTGCCCACCGCCACCGCGCTGCCGAGGCGTTGAGTCACTGCATGCCTGCGGCCTGACTGCGGCCTGCGCCTCTTGTGCACGCCGATGGGCAAAAACGATTGCAAATTAAAAACGGGCGAATGGGTTCGGCGAGCGGTGTTTTATTTTGGCTATGCTGACGGCATGCCGCGGCGCGGCGGGCCTTGCCGGTATCTCGTGGACGCCGCGCCACGCCGCGCCACGCCGCGCATGGCTTATCTGTCGACGCCGCCGCGATGCCTGCGAGTACCGCGCAGTGTACGATTCGCCGGCTACACCAGAAGTGGCGCTTGATGTCACGGGCACGGGGACTGACTGGTCGGGGCCCGTCCTAAAGCCCCAAGCCGAGCCCCGGTCCGGTCCACTGCCCTGCGTCGCT